CAAGGTATCATCGGTGATATGAGAATGACCACCACCTCCAAGGTATCATCGGTGATATGAGAATGACCACCACCTCCAAGGTATTATCGGGGATATGAGAATGACCACCACCTTCAAGGTATCATCATGGGATATGAGAATGACCACCACCTCCAAGGTATCATCGGGGATAAGAGAATGACCACCACCTCCAAGGTATCATTGGGGATATGAGAATGACCACCACCTCCAAGGTATCATCGGGGATATGAGAGTGACCACCACCTCCAAGGTATTATCGGGGATAAGAGAGTGACCACCACCTCCAAGGTATTATCGGGGATATGAGAATGACCACCACCTTCAAGGTATCATCATGGGTTATGAGAATGACCACCACCTCCAAGGTATTCTCGGGGATAAGAGAATGATCACCACCTCCAAGGTGTCATTGGGGATATGAGAGTGACCACCACCTCCAAGGTATCATCGGGGATATGAGTGTGACCACCACCTCCAAGGTATTATCGGGGATATGAGAGTGACCACCACCTCCAAGGTATCATCATGGGTTATGAGAATGACCACCACCTCCAAGGTATTATCGGGGATATGAGAGTGACCACCGCCTCCAAGGTATCATCATGGGTTATGAGAATGACCACCACCTCCAAGGTATTCTCGGGGATATGAGAATGACCACCACCTTCAAGGTATCATCATGGGTTATGAGAATCACCACCACCTCCAAAGGTATTCTCGGGGATATGAGAGTGACCACCACCTCCAAGATATCATCGGGGATATGAGAATGACCACCACCTTCAAGGTATCATCATGGGTTATGAGAATGACCACCACCTCCAAGGTATCATCGGGGATAAGAGAGTGACCACCACCTCCAAGGTATCATCGGGGATATGAGAATGACCACCACCTTCAAGGTATCATCATGGGTTATGAGAATGACCACCACCTCCAAGGTATTATCGGGGATAAGAGAATCACCACCACCTCCAAGGTATCATCGGGGATATGAGAATGACCACCACCTTCAAGGTATCATCATGGGTTATGAGAATGACCACCACCTCCAAGGTATTATCGGGGATAAGAGAATGATCACCACCTCCAAGGTATCATTGGGGATATGAGAATGACCACCACCTCCAAGGTATCATCGGGGATATGAGAATGACCCCCGCCTCCAAGGTATCATCGGGGATATGAGAATGACCACCACCTCCTCATCGGGGATATGAAGTGACCATCATCATCGGGGATATGAGAATGACCACCACCTCCAAGGTATATATCAAGGTATTATCGGGGATATGAGAATGACCACCACCTTCAAGGTATCATCGGGGATATGAGAATGACCACCACCTTCAAGGTATCATCGGGGATATGAGAATGACCACCACCTCCAAGGTATTATCGGGGATATGAGAATGACCACCACCTTCAAGGTATCATCGGGGATATGAGAATGACCACCACCTTCAAGGTATCATCATGGGTTATGAGAATGACCACCACCTCCAAGGTATTATCGGGGATATGAGAATGACCACCACCTCCAAGGTATTATCGGGGATATGAGAATGACCACCGCCTTCAAGGTATTATCGGGGATATGAGAATGACCACCACCTCCAAGGTATTATCGGGGATATGAGAATGACCACCACCTCCAAGGTATTATCGGGGATATGAGAATGACCACCGCCTTCAAGGTATCATCGGGGATATGAGAATGACCACCGCCTCCAAGGTATCATCGGGGATAAGAGAATCTCACACGAGTGTCTTCTTGATATCATATATATCACCACGTGTTGATATATTTTATATCAAATAACACGAGGGTGAGATGCTATTTATCATCAAAAATCATTCTCCTTAATTTTACAATGAAAAGTGTACATCCCTGAACATGGTACTGCCATTAGACTTGCAGTGCAGCGATGTCATAGCATTGTGACGTCATCAAGTTCATGACGTCATAGCATTGTACAAAATCTACTGTCAAAACGATATCTCCTAGGAACAAGCAATATATCCTGTGGATCACAGTTTTGGATGATAAATGTGAGTGACCACCGCCTTCAAGGTACTATCGGTTATATGAGAATGACCACCATGTTCTCATTCACCACCAAAGTCAGGGAGCTGGTATTGAGATACGCTGGGTTCCATGGACAAGAACAATTCCTTGCGTTTGCTCTGACCTCATTTGCATGTTAATCCCTTGCCGAACACAGCAGCCCCGGGGAGGGAGAGCACCTTTAAATCCTTCCTGTAATTCTATGATTAATCGTCTTCGGTTCATTAGCAGCTCATCCGTGTGTTCCACATGTGTTCAGTAGCTGCTGCTGGTTGTAGGCTAATAAAGTCGCCTCATTGAACACCTCATGGAAGCGAACAGCAGCCGTCTACAGGACCCACATAACCAATCTGTATGTAGGACAGGACAGACATACATGTAATATATTGTCGGCTACTGGCTCTGCTGAAATACCCTGGTGTATTGTGACCATAGACTCGTAGGTCGGCTACTCCAATATTAGTCATGTCTGTGAAAATGGAAACAACATTGAAAAGCAAGAACGCCCCTCCACTTACCATCATGTCATCATCTGGATGTTCACTTGAACACAAAGAACCTATACAGCGTGCTCAACATAATAAACAATAATTGAATATCACAGCATCAGGGCAAACCGAACAACTTCCTAAAGTAGGTAATTACACGAAATGTCAAGACACAAGGAATGGACTTCCAGGTGATGTATTGTCCCCTCGACACTAATATATACTTGAACCATGCCCCTTCACCAATCTACACAGATCCTATGTAAATGAAGGTTTTCATGCATATCAAAGTGACTTTAACTTTCAGTCAGTTTGAGATAACTGACACAATGAGGTACATCGCTTATCAAGAAGCTAGTTACACATATATTGAGAAGGAGGCAACATGCTTCACTTACATGACCTCGCATCTGGTACATAAAACCGTGATAATCTATTACCATCTCATTTGGCGGCTAATCTCTGTTACCCACCTCGGACTAAGATGAACATTCCACAGTGGTCCATAATTCCAAAAAGGCTGTCGTTTTTTGTTCGTAATCAAATATATGGCGACTTGACAAATTGTAAATGAACGTAAATCCCGACTACAACCCATTCATTTCCCTGATCTTCTCTCAATCTGCACACATTAGACAGATATCTTTTTTTCATTTGCAGGAAGCAAGAGTCATTACTGAATAACAAAGACTGTAAGCCTGACAAACTGATGTATAGCGCCGACAGAGGCACGCGAGCAGAACTCTATATTTCATCGTGGTTGATGGTCTGCAGGCTTACAGAGGATTCCCTTGTATGATCCAATCCTTCTTGGCTGCCAGTACTCGGCCATCTGTCTATGACGAGTTCCAACATATCGATGATAGCATATGCCTTATCTCAATTCGGTGCGTACATTAAAGGCATACAATTCCATGTCGCTATTTCACCACAAAAATCATAGGCTATTTTATCCCAGAGAAAATTGCTTACAAAAGAGCAGTATTACTGGTAATTAAATATGTATACATCATATACACATATTATATTATGATATATTTAATTAAAACATGCATATTTGTTAAATTTTATATTCAAACATGTATGGATCTATTTTGTCAAATGAGAACAATGAGTTTGAGATTTCCGACATCATATAAGTGTACAACATTTCCTCAGCAGTAGGATGTCTCTCAGATCTGTGATGACATGGTAAACGGTCATCTAAGTAATACATTCGAAACTTCAGAAGTAAATGAAGTAAATGAAGCATTTCTTCGTGGTGTTATTGCCCCATTGCGACGCCCTATGGCTGGGATAGTAAGCACGGGGTATAATATAGCTCCTTTGATAAACCTGATGAGCATTTTATGAACGCTCCTGTGACGGCGATGATAGCGTGTCGCTTGACATCTGCTTCATGACAGCGATGTGTGCAACGAGTGGCCCTATCGGCGACGGTAGGAGTATATTGCAAAGTTTACTTATGATACAGAACTGCTATCTCTGATATATTTTCGGCATTTCCGTAAACTGATAATGGTGTATTAGGGCTTACGTCTCGCATGTTGAGCGAGAAGGTAATATGAGGAAATCCTATTATTTCAGCACTAGACAGAACTAATGATATTACGGTACTAAACAATGTAGAAAATGAACATAGTTCATGTGTTGTAATATCAAGGAGGCCCTTTAACATGTCTGGGATAGAAAGGAAATTATACGGTCACATTCAAAATCCGTTATCGGAGTTGCTGGCGATGTTGAACACAAGCTAACAGGATCGTCTTAACGCTTGGCGATCACCTAAGGAAAGTGTCCCCCAACCCCTGAACGATTTCTCGATTACTTTGGAGGTCTGTAGTTCAATATTGGACAAGAGTACTCTCGCAGTCACCGTAATGATCGCAGTTGAGGAAAGCTGACAACAGGAGGGCGAGGGTTGTGGTGGGTATTGACTGCTAGTTGACGTCTCCACGTGGATAATCTTCGCGTATTGTGTAGAGTAGAATGGCTGGGAAGTCCGTATAATCAGGAGGATTATTACCATCCGTTCTGTACGTTATTCATTATGGAAAGTAGGTTTAGGTATACATGGCTGTTAGTGTAGCTGCCTGCATATTAATAATGTGGATAACTTGAGGTCTGGCAGGGATGAGTGAGTTTAGTTTCGATTAGCGCGTGTGTTTGTTTGTTTCAATATCACGTCGTTTCCCGCGTGTTTGATCTGCAACAGCTGTGTACAACACGAGATAATGACTATTCACTTATATCTGCTTCAGGCGGAAAAGTAGTCACTGTACAAATGACAATCATAAGGTTAACAAAACACATACATAACCTTTAATAGGACTTAATAGACTGGAACTCTGACAGGAGAACAATCGTGACAAAATGTGAGGTGTGAGATAGCTGTATTATAAGTGATATTGACACAAACATACCTGTCACTTGCTCCAGAGCATATATTACTAGTATCAACCCATCAAAGTGTAATTCCATCTTGATGTGACTCTCTAGAGTGAGTCTCACGTCTCCGTCATCATCATCATCATCATTAACAACACTGAGAAATCAATTTCACAAGAAACGCAACCAAGGTAATCCCTCCCAGGTATCTCCTCTGCGTCTATTATCCCATGTGTGTAGCTCCGCCGGCAGGTGAGTGAGCATTCCCTCGCAGCCTCTCTTAACGGTAAGTCGAGGATTCACTTTATGCCACCAATAATTAAGTCAGTTTTGTGTAGCGTCGACTGCTCGGGTTAACTCTATGAGCAGTGTGGCCCAGTGATATAGCGCTCAGCGATCGAGTAAAGGCCATACCTCACAGCGGCGACCTTTTAAGTCGGACCGAAGTGGCGACTGATCTAAGTTACTCGCGCGAATCGTTCGTATCTCAGAATAGGCGAGTCCAAGTTTTTATGCGGGGGTGTTACTTCAGCGACTCATAGCATTTACAAATACCGGTCTGATTTTCGTTGAAATGTCAACACCGATTGATGACGAGGTCCTTTAATTTATGTAACGAGTTGAACATCCTCTATGAAGTCCCTCAATACAGTACAAGGACGATGGAGTTTGGGTGGAATTTTTACGAGTGAGCGTGAAAAGAGAATTGAATCAATCAACGCTTGGTAACGAAGGCGTTACGGGCAGGACTATCCCAGACGAGCGGAATCGACCATTTAAAGCAGCCGGCTTCACCCAGAGGAGGCTGGGAGACCAGCAAGTCAAACTGTCTTAAAGTCTCCTGAGTGGACGTGTTCAATATTTACGTTCTACTTAAACGGTGTCATCTGCACATGTAGGTGTATTTGGGATGTCGTCTGTGTTGATCGTGTGCACATGGTGATCTCTAGATAATCTTCGTCCAACTAGTGTGAGTAGAGCGTCATTATAAGTAGAGTGTCATTATAAGTAGAGTGTCATTATAAGTGGAGTTCTCAGATTATCAAACATATAAATAGGCTCACCTACACGATGCCTGTCCTGGCACGCCTTATATTTATTATGTAATTTGTATGGGCGAGCGAATGTTTACCCAAGCTCAACAGTTTTGTCCACAACTGTGGTGTCACGCTCTGATGTGTAAGGGGGGATGATACTTACGAGAATATAGGATTTCAGTCTGTAAAGGTCGCCACTGTTATAGCAGGTGTGTTCTCAGTGAATCAGTCCTTCTTCCAGTTCCGGATATTCCAATTTTCCTGTACTAGTGCGAATATGGGCGATTGTATGTTAGTGCTATGTATTTTCGCGTGCGTGTATCCGCATGACTGGGTTGGTGCGTGTGAAAGTCTGAGTGAGTGAGTGAGTTTAGTTTCATGCCGCACTCAGCAATATTCCAGCTATATGGCGGTGGTCTGTAAATAATCGAGTCTGGACCAGACAATCCAGTGATCAACAGCATGAGCATCGATCTGTGCAATTGGGAACAGTTGACATGTGTCAACCAAGTCAGCGAGCCTCACCACCCGATCCCGTTAGTCGCCTCTTACGACAAGCATAGTCGCCTTTTGTGGCAAGATGGGTTGCTGAAGACTTATTCTACCCCGGATCTTCACGGGTCGTGAAAGTCTGAGCGGGTAGGCGACGGTCTTAGTGTTTGTTGGCAGGGAATTCGTTTTTCAAATTTTCTTCTCGACACTTCTCAGATTCTTCACTTGATTAAATGTTATTCAGGTCGTCAATCGTGACCAAAGATTTAATAACCTACATGTATGTATATACGACACGTCACGTCGAAACTAGGATTACTGTCACAGTGTGACTCTTCAGTCTACAATACTGGACACGAGAACACGCGTGCTATATCAATGACAGACAAAGATACGCTCATCAGTGTCTATAAACGCACTCTGATGATGTCGCTGAAACCATACACCATCTTTAGCTGATACAGGTTATGATCGTGGGAAGGGATATGTCACTTTTTATGACACAAAATAGAGATTTTGTGAAAAATTGGTGTTGAGTCGATTCATTGAAAAGAAAGCCTGTCTCAAACAATTTCACTAAATTAAAACCATGCGAAAATACTGTGAGTAAGTGTGTATTTAGGTTACTGCAGGGATACTCTACAACCTTATGTAGTCTCCCTGGTTACTGGTACTAGCACCCGCCTGCAATATGACGATTGGAAAACAAAATAATAGTCCATTATGACCATGCTGGACTTCGAACCCGGACGTTGGGCGTGACAAACGCTTTTATCACCAGCTCAGATATCTCCATGCCGTTATGAGCTTAGAACAAGAAACATCTAGTAAACCACTTTAGTAGATATCGATGACATCGGATGCAGCACATATAACGGTACTTCTGAGGTTGGGGATAGATGCACACATACGCCTAGTCTGTCGTACAGACCCTGAAGCAAATATATCCAAGAAAGCCAACGCAAGTCTAGAAAATGTGGCAAGTCTAGATTTCCTCAGCTTCAGGGCTCCTTTTCATTATATATATTTTTTTTAATTGGAACTTTTTTCAGTAAAATATGTTCATTTCAGAGACTAGTTGTTAGTCTAACATACGCCCACACCACATGTCTGGGTTCATTGAGGGAGTACTTCCTGACATACATCCCAGCGAAGAGGTGAGGTGAAATTGGGTTTAACATCGTGCTGGAGAATATTTCGATCATATGACGACGTGCATGTGTGTGTGTGTGTATGTGCGGCTGCTTGTACTAGCCCAGACTGAAGCTGGTTTTATAGTACTAGCCCACTGAGATACCATGCCGCAGTGAAGCAGGAATACCCCACTCAGACACATTATACTGACTCCGAGCCGACCAGTCCTTGTCGTACCCATTAATGCCGAGCGCCTGGCAGGGACCAACAAGTACCATATTTTAACGTCTTTTGGTATGACGCGGTCGGGGATCGAACCCGCGACCTTCCGCTCCCCAGCGAAGAAGGAACATACACCGGGAGACTGACACGTGTCGTTGTCATACCGTGAGGTACCGTGGCGCTAAATGACGTTCTGGTAACATCTCTTCAATATCATATCTCTCCATAGATCACATACACGCATGCATAGCTTACATCGTGACATCCCGACTTCAGATGCAATACAACACTTTACAGTCGTGTTTAACTGAAATATTGCAAGGGAGAATGTAAACTAACGCTTAGTCTCTGAATATAAATAATTTTGATAGTAACAAACAAACCTGTTGAAATTGAACAGGAGCCCAAGGGAGACCAGAGATTAAGAACCTGAACCTGAGGAAATCTAGACTTGCTTCATTTAGGGCTTCAGCATTGCAGATAGTGTAGGCAATAGGTAAAATAATATTGTTCAGGGACTGTGAGACAGACTAGGGAGAATGCTGTCTGGTCGACTAAAAAGGGACAGAAAGTCCATTTAGTTCATGCACTTTCTGGGTTGTGTTCATCAGTTTCACCTCTCAGCACCAATAACATCACACATCTTCATGACCTACAGCAGAGGACAACATTTCATTGAGTGTCATCCTGACCCGCAGCCTATCAGTCTCATCCCTCCGCATCAGTGAGTGAGTGAGTGAGTTTAGTTTTACGCCGCACTCACCAATATTCCAGCTATATGGCGGCCGTCTGTAAATAATCGAGTATGGACCAGACAATCCAGTGATCAACAACATGAGCATCGGTATGTACAATTGGGAACCGTTGACATGTGTCAACCAAGTCAGTGAGCTTGACGACCCGATCCGTTAGTCGCCTCTTACGACAAGCATGGGTTACTGAAGGCCAATATTCTAACCCGGACCTTCACGGGTCCTTCCGCATCAGAAGGAAACATAGTATTACATATCAAGGCCATAATAAATAGCATGTCACCATCACAAACTGTTAAAATCCTCAGTACCCATGGTGCGAACCTGCTGAGTGACTTCTCTATTTCAGACACCAAACACGCGCAACAGCAAATGTTCTTCAACACTGCAAACAGCACCGTTTGGCCTGCCTCTCTACACTTTGGACGTCCAGGTTGTAGTAGCCTTGTAGGTGTGTTCATTCACAACCAAACATTACAGTCTATTACTGTGTGTATTCCTGGCGTCCGTTCACACGCGCGGGATGGGTGGCAGGTGTATAAACCGGCGTCTGTCAGTGGACCGTAAGATCTGCTGGGGCTGATTGCCCCGGTGTATTTGCTCTATAATGTAGGAAGAGTTCGTCTGTCTGATCCAAAGGTTATTACTTAAGTGCCGTTGTTATGCTGAATGCAGAATTACCCTCCATTCATTCAATCACGTATCGCGAGATTACCTACTTGCGTTTATAGATTTTACACACACAATAGATGGGTTGAGCGTGAGCAGTATATATATGATGTAGATTCTTAGACGTGTGTAACATGTCGCACTGTGAGAAATAAGGCTAGATAAACTGTTAGGGGTATGGTGCCGGCTAACCCAGAAACGAGGGCTAACAGGGATTCGAACCCATCATTGGTTTCTGAAATCAACGAATTCCTGAGAAATGTGAACCACTCATGCTCAGTGTTCGAAATAGTTTCCAAGTTTTGCCAGCCAGTCGGGCTAGCTATGCCTGAAAGTTACTAGCCCACAAAATAATTCACACGCCCGAAATTTGAATGTAGAAACTAAACAAAAGATAACAAAAAGGTAAAATACCATCTGACTAATCAGGCCATACTCTTGCAGGATTTAAAAGTGTATTATAACTCAACAAGTCGGAGAGAGTGCTATATTTAAAAAATGACCCCATCAAAATTCTCTCACCAGTCGGGCCAGAGACTGTTGAAATTTACTGGCCCGACTGGATATTTACTAGCCACGGGCTAGCGGGACAGTGGCTATTTTGCACACTGCAGTCATGCTCCCTGACGTATACAGTGTGGCAGTCCTCTACCCGCGGCACGGTATAGACTGTCAACACTGATAGTAGATACATGTGAGCAATCTCCAGGAGGTTCGATTCAGTTGCCTACAGTAACACTAACAACCTGATACTGTGGGGATGAACGTGTTTTCTATTCAAGAAGGTCATTAGGCGTCTCTTATATGTGCCTTGACTTCACTGAATGCAGCATCATTCAGGGAAAACTGATAACCCTACTTAGATAAATAATTTATTCAGCGTTGTATTTAAACCCATTTGCATCCACTTAGCACATAACAGTATCGTTGGCGCCCGTCACGCGAGTACGCCACGCAGTGTTGCAACTGAGAAAAGAGAAACTGTAGCGTGACACCATTCTCGACGTCGGTTTGGAGCTTAAACAACTACAGCCAGCCACCTACATGCGACTACAGTCAGTACCCACCCAGTGCTTCTAACGCTACAGTCAGTACCCACCCAGTGCTGCTAACGCTGCAGTCAGTACCCACGCAGTCAGTACCCACCCAGTGC